TAAACACCCTGTCAGTAAATACAAACTGATCATAACTAAAGTATTTTCTCCACTAATCATGAATTCATTATTACTAAGAGCTAAAGCAAAATAAGTCTCAACAGAGCTCTGGCCTTTTTCAAGCGTAGCTACAGTGCTGAAAAAAGAGACGGTCCATTCAACACTTTTCAGTTATTTTTCATATTTTTCAAACGGAGCCTCCCCAGAGAATCAAGTACGCCAGTATCACTGTGTGAGCTCATGTGTCTATCTGTAAGATAGAGAAGGCTCTTAAAAGTGTAAAGCACAATTTAGAATTTGGGTTAATGTATTTTGTAATATGGAGTGGGAGTGTTGAATAAGAGTTAAAAACAAATCCAAACAAATGCTTCTGAGCTCATTAGTCTACATCCAAACTATTGTTTTATTTTACAGGCTAAACTGAACACCAATGTCTGGTTGTGCAGAGTAAACAGACCACTGTGAACAATGTGTGATTTTCCTGTATGGAACAACATGCTGTGTGGCACAGTACAGTATAATACTGTTTTAAAAATAGACTGACTTTGTGTAAATAAAGTGTAAATGCAGGAGTCAAAGGATGGCCATTTACCAGCAACTGAAGTCCTGCCATTATTAAGTCCGAAAGCTATTTATTTGAGATAGATTATTGCTCTTTTTGATCACGTTTTCTTATCGTTGAACACTTGGAACTAGAAATGGACTGAACCCTCTGGTCTGAATTTTATTAGAAGAAACAGTTAGCATGCTTTCAATGAACACAAATATATCTGCTTTGAAGATCGAATAGCTTTTTTGTACACGTATAAAATCATGCATGTGTAAGAAATTACACTTGTATGATAAACTAGTTCGAGATGCTAAAACAACATTTCAACCACCATGAGGCAGGAAGTCACACAGGAGGCAGACCGAGGACCTTGTTTGAATGTTAACGCCTGTTGGATCGGCACAACTGCAAATACTCGAACAGCAGTTGTCAAAAGATACTTTTGTTATGTTTGTGAGGCATCAGTGCACTTTTATGAGCCTCTCGAGTGACTCCCAAGCAATTCCTCTGGGCAATATGTGAGAATCACTGATTATTCATTTCTAGATTGCACACATTTACGCAATTTGAATAAGAACTGAGCAAAAGGACACAAACCCAGTAAACAGATTTGTGTGATGATAATTCCACATGGAACTCGTATTTCTCTTTCACATGCGTACGCATACACGATCTCTGCAGCCATCCTGAAACACAGAGGAGGTCAATTGAGAGGCAAATGATCATCATTGTGACCCCTGGCATCTGAGAGAATGCTGATTTACAGCTCACAATGGACTCAGCCCAACTCAGCGTGCACAATAGAAAAATGTATATCTTTTAGTCAAGTGGGTACTTACTTTTACTTTTAAAGAGATGTAAAATTCCACAGCAGCACCTAATGTTAGCTGTGAACTTAAACTCTTAGCAAATACTTGCCAATTGTAACTACCTACCTGCAAAACTTTGGTCTTCAAATAGCTTTGAGTGTTAATTGGGTTATACTTCAGAGAAACTACATGTGAGAGAGGGGAAGGCATTGTATGCTGGCTCTGTTCAGTTTATTATTGTATTTTTTGTGGCACTTGTTATGAAAACACTTGTTTGAGCATAATGGATGTGCACTGTTTGGTCAGACCCGAGTTAGATACCACAGCCTCATTCACAGAAACTATTCAAAGCAGTACTATCTAGTCTGAAGTGTGTGTGTGTGTGTGTGTGTGTGTGTGTGTGTGTGTGTGTGTGTGT